AAATGATTTCAAACGATATTTGTTTTATTAATTGGAGTAGGTAATTGGCTTAATCCTGTGATTATTAACGTAAGCTATCTTATCTTTAACTGAGTCAGACCTATTCTGAATGACGTCTTAATTCAATACGTATTATAATTTGCTTCTTGTAAAGTAAAATGATTATTATTAAACCGACATCTTTAGTACTCGTGATTTGTCTACCTGCACGATAGTCGACTACCCAATACGGTTCTAGCAGTTCTTTTGTTAATTTTTTTTGGCAGGTTTTTTGTACGGCTTCTTGTAAAACAGAAAAAAAATACATGATTTTTTTCTCGTGGTTTTGGCATAATCTTACAACAATAATTATTTTCTAAACATCATTTATATCCGGTACCGTTTGGTTTTTTTGATACTTCACTTTTTCTTACCCAAATAATTGGTTTTGGGAAGAAGGCAGTTAGATGATCTTACACACCTCCTACACACGTTACTTTCATTTTACTACACAAAATCTATATAAAAAATATCTTAACCATACATCGTACATTACATTAGTGAAAATGCCACGTCTCTTTTAATTCCACAGTAACCCCAAATGAAAAGGTTTTTAATGATAAAGAAGAATAATTGAATATCAGAATATAATTACTGTAGAACTGATTATTCACAGTCAATTACGCGCAGTCGGCGCTGCTTGTGGATGATTTAAATTATTACTACAGATTAATTTTGCTGCTGAAAATACTGTTACCTGGGGCGAGTTAATTATTTCACTATCTATAACCGTGTTGGCTCAGCAGAGGCGGGTACGATACCGCCGACCTTTTGCCACATTTAAACCTTTCAGTAGTTTATCAGGCTCTATTTTTAACACGGTTTTATTATTATAGGTATCTTGGTTCTTTTACAGTTTACGTTCGTGATAGTAAGGTTGCATAAATTAAATGATGCTCGAAGCGCCGATTAAAGGCCATCGAGAAAAAGACAGCCTTCGCTCATAAATCTAGTTTTGTGCAGATATTTATTACTGAATTTCGAAATACCCATTTACGTTCTACAAAATGTATTTTTCTTATCGTTTCTGGAAACGATTGGCTTTGTGACAATCTGATAATGTACGTACCTAACAATATGAGAACGTAGACACTTAATGCCAGAGATTTTTTACACGTTGCCATATAATTATCTCACTTGACATGGCCTAGACCTGTTAATAATAGCATATTAAAACTTCTCGCACCAAGACGTTCGTGTTATCCATAAAATTACATCTTGTTCGATCTATTAGAAAAGTGGTATAATCGTTCATTATCACGCAGCTCAGTATCTAATCCGCGCTGTGCTACCACGCCGCCGGCTTGTCTGATGACTTAATTAATGACCCGCCGTGTCGCTGTTAATTAAACAGCTCAGGCAAATTGAAGCTCATGCCTGAGCCCGCGGCAGCTACCAGATTAAAAACAAAATGCAATTTTGTGCGCACCACGCGACCCGTACTAAGTGAGATTAACGCACAAGGCCGGAGTTAAGGACATGGTTTGCAAAAAGAGCTGTATGAAGTATCCATCTATGCTAACACTCCTAATCAATTCACTCATTTGAAAGTCGTGGGAAGAAACGTAAATAAAACCCGACCAAATATTGAAACAGTTAATATTTGATATGCGTGAGACCTGTCATGTAAATTATATCAACATACGTTTATCTATGACAGATTAATATTATAGACCTCCGATGGTGTATGTTAATGATATTATGGTTTTATTAAACCAACTACACGTCAGTTACTACTGTCACAGACATGTAAACTTGTTTGCCTTAATCAGAAAAAGTACTTAAATTATAATGACGTGTTAATTTATTAAAGCACGACTCATGTAGCGGTAAAGCCCGCAAAATGGCAAATAGCATTGGCGACCGCTAGCGTTGCCTGTTTAGCGAGGTAATTGAGCATGTAGTGAGCATTTCCAGTCTCATCTCCGAATATAATTTTGAATTTATCCAACGGAAAATAATTCTGAACTGTAATTTCTACTGTGCGGATGACAGGTTATTTGTGAACACAAACAAGCGTAATTTAATAACGTTATTATTTTATTAATACACAAAATACGATATAATAAAAGTAATGCGCATCTAGTATTTTTTATGTTTTAAACAATAAGGATTGTTTATATATCTGAGCAGTTTAAGAAATATTACTTAAACCTTCACTTTTATTTATAATTGGTTTTATAACTAATGCAATGTTTTATTCTTGTTGTTGTGACGAACGCATAATATTGTGAATTCTTCGTCATAAATGAATTCAATTGGAATTAATGAAAGTGTTTTTTGATTGAAAATAAATCAAAGCTTAATATAGTTATTTTTTAAATCTGCAGTAATTCAACCATTTCGACGTTGTCTCATTAATTATTGTAAATTTATTAAGTGATTAAATTCGAACGACTAGTTTTTGTCGAATATTCTGTACGAGTGGCTTAATTAATACAATAATATATTCATGAGCTGAACGTAACAAATTATTGTAACTGGCCATTATGATGTTATTATTTCTTTATAATGGTGATATCAGTACTGTCACATTAGTGATTAATATGTTGTTGGTGAGGCAATTACAGCAAATGACCGTTGTCGGCGAGCCGCCCGCCGCCCGCCGAGGTGTGACCGCGTAGTAGCGTAGGTAGGCGATTACCTTGCGGCCCACTGAGTTATTGACCGATGCTAATTATTTGACAGCGTCTTGTAAACACAGAACGTGACGTTTACACCATGTTAACATGTTAATTGCTGAATCACGAGATCACCACCTCTATATTGTTCTATTTAACGTCTAAAAGGTAACAATTATGTACTTACAACAGAATGAAGGTTACTTACTGTGTAAATAGAAACTACGCTATACATACTTGTTCACATCTTTAATTTATCTATCTTTCCCACGGGGAGCACCGCCGTCGGCAGAAAAATAGCCCGCCCGATTTCTGTGAATTCGTGATAACTTTTTTTATGAGGCTGAAATGAATTGTATAAAATCTTTTGTGGAAGTCGCAAAGTTCTTGAGAGAATTTTGCTTTCGTCGCAGTTCTTAAGAGATTTATACCTTGTAAAATGAAGTTTATCTCTCTCTTTTATTATCTTGTGTGGGTAATTGAGTTTACTTTTCCATGTATTTATTTTCTCAGATGTTATCATCTGTGTTCTTAAGCACTTCTTTTCTTTACTCAACTCCTGTACATTATAGATAAATAAGCACGATTTATTGACTAAATATTTCTTCTCATATTCTAGACTAGAAATAAAAATACAATCGGCAATAAAAAGACAATAAAATAACCCAGTTTGTTTGTTTCTTTTGGTATTTCATCGAACAGCTACCGCAGTATTATGTTAAATGCATCGTTAATACAAACGGTGTAAGCTATCAGCTGTGGGTGTGGAGCGTGTAGTTTATTGTTATTATTTATTCACGTTGGGCGGTCACGGTAACACGTGTCGTTTGCGGCACGGCACGAGCCACTTACATCAAGATCAGATTCGACATAGTACGTCTTATTCCCATCCTCAAAGCTGACTAAACACTCTCACACCAATTTACCACACACCCTCCAGCTATTAAATCGAGGGTGAAGGGGTTACGCGTGTACTATTGTTAATTCACTCCGAGAGCTCTGCCTTTGTGTTGTTTGGGTACAACTAAGACTATTATGACAAGTCGATTTCTTGCTGAGGTTTGTTGTTCTGCTGGCTTTAAGTAACTTTTTATCTTCTCTGCTATTTGTTCTGTACTATTGTTTGTTTTGTACTATAATAGTTACAAACAAGAGCTATAAGCTATTACAAAAAAACTTACGTTGTTTAAAATGCGTAGTCGGGAGTCCATTATCTTTATTATTTCTTTGCAAAAAGCTAACCATTGAACGACCGACAAAATAAAATCAATATTAAAAGAAACAACATAACTACGCAACAGTAACAGTTATGATGCCTGTGAATGATCCCCTGTGATTTTTTTCTCATCAAATCAGCACCCCAACGAGTTCCGAGTCACCCTCGCCGGACGGTCGATCCAATATTTCGTGTTACGTTCAAAAATATGTCAGTGGGACCCTTATTGTGTCACCGCTGTCAAACATATCTCCCCTACAAATTGTTTAAACGCGGTAGCACGTGTTACTCGCACGCATTTCACTTTGTGATTTTTGTATGAATAAATATAACATTTCTGTTTCTGCATTTACATAAGGAATCTGCACTCAACTTACGATAAGTGTTCCATACACAAGACTTTATTTTACTTTATCTCTTTTGGTGATGTGTGATGTCATTGTTATCGTTGTATTTATAGATAACTAATTTAAGTGTTATGTTTCTACCGTATCGCAAAATCCAAAAACCGTGTGAAAATATATCATGCGTAGATTGCATCGGTGGGACTTTTTCGTATCTTTATTTTCATTACTACACTTATTTCGAATCTGATAAAACTGTAGATATTATTGCATAATTAGGATGTTAAATAAAAACTATAATTTCATGTACCTATATGTTTGCATGCTTATCCCTCATATGAAACAAATAAAAAGAAAAAAGACAACAAAAACATGTTTACTGTTACACAAACGACACGATAAAAGCTATCATAGTCGTAAACTCAAAGGAAACTCGTAGTTTTCTCAAGTCGTAACTAAGAAGCGGAATACTTAGTCAGCACATTCTTGCTCTCGGGCGTATTCAGCTAAACGGGCGTACGAGACTATGATAAAGTGGAACTATATAACTTGGGAAAATCTGCATGCTAAACTAAGTACAGCTTGGTACAGCTTTCCACACACTAACAATGTGACTTTAAGTTCCGCATTGAACACAAACGAGCTCCCTAACTTGTTACGTTATTACAGTTATTGGATTAAGTTATTAGGAAGCACGCGTTAATATTTATGTATAACCAGTAAACTCATGATGTTTTAACAAGATTTGTACAAGAATTAAATTGTTTTCTTTGTTTACAGGCTGCTGTAAAATGCGCTTCCTCTCCTCGCACAAACGCCCTGTCGACCAAGCCTCGTCTGCCTTTGGCGGCGCTGGCGGCCGATTCAGGGCGAAATCATCCGCCCAACAACGTCAACTCTCATGTAAGTAATACCCATTATCTTGTCTTAAGCCTGATGTGTATGTCAAACAAATACGGTAGATTGCCGTCATCCTACTACCGAATTAATGGTGGCTAACGTGATTTAGAACTCGTAGAACTATTTATGCATGTTATGTTCGTGTTTGTTTTCATTAGTATCGTAGACATAACACAGTACACTCTATTTATGCAAAACTAGTATATCACTTAGAATTTTAACGTGATTCGTGTTGAAAGCGGAAAGTTGTTTCTTTGCTATGAATTTACTTACAAAGCTCTTGTTTAGACGGGTTTTTGTAGCAGTGGTCGTCCATTTTCTTACATCCGATCCTAAGTTAAATGTGTCGGGTGATCTCACACGTCTAAATGCAGCGAATCTAAATCTGTGAGCCATCGAGCGTGCCTCTTCCGGGATCCGCTTTCTCGCCAAACTCATAAAACGTATGCAAACTGCCAATCGACTTGTCAACGCTCCTCGACTAGTCTTCAAGATGGCTTTTAAACCAACATCTACGAAATGCATACTTTGTTTACTTGTTTTAATTAGTTTGCCAAACCATTAAGCATTGAATTACCAGAAGAGTGAACTTCGTTCATTATGTAGTGATTGGACGGAACCTAATTTCCAGGTTGCTCCTGCTTCTTATTTACCTTTTCGAATATCAATGAAACGGGAACGTGGTTTGATGTGAAACAGTAGCGCGGTATGATATTTTTTAGAAATTGATCGAACAGAAATTTACTTTTACTGTTCGCTCCCTAAATAAACTTTTGAACAATGTATCATAACAAAAATAAAACTTACTGTTTGAAAATAAAAATTTCAAATATCAGTGAAATCCATGTCGAATGCAACATTATTTATTCACCGGCCCAGTCGGAAACGGCAGGCGTTGTCCAGTGACGGCACTAGCTCTCGACTATTTAATTGGCTCTTGTGAAATCTTTATTAGATCCACTACCATTGCACTTTCTAGGAGTTAACTCCTGATATCTATTTCTGACTCGTAACGCGTTATACATTACTTTTATATTGCCAATAAAACAACAGAATATTAAACCTATTTGGTATTCCTTTCCGGTTTGAGAAAATCGAATATTTATTTCTTCACTCGACGACGCGTGTGCTTGAGTTCTAAATAGGTTCACATTTCTGATTCGAAAGGAGCACTCTGAGCGGAATGTGAGCAGTTTACCCTGTGTGCTCCCCCGTGAATTTCGACAGTTCGCCGACGCCAGCCAAGATATGTCGCAATCCCATCCAATTTGCCTCCCGCCGCTCGTGCTGTTGCTCGAATAAAGCGGAAAATCTTGCTCCGCAGCGCGCCGCCGACGGAATAAATTATGTCAGCTTCAATATGAAACTGTCGGAAGCGAAGGGCGCGTATAAAACGTTAAGCTTTAAGTTAATCGTTAATAAAACATGCTTATCTGAAATTAAATGTAGATTTATTAAAACATACAAAGATAAAAGGAACTACGTAGCAATGTTTACTAATTCATCTCTATACCGAATAGAGCAGCGAAATGCGGTTGTTTTATTGGGTATCCACTTAGTTACAGTTTACAGACTATATCATGGTTTGAACAATATCTAGAGTTGAACGGGGAATGAGCACGATCGTTTGGCACGAGCTGGGAACGCGACGCTGCGGTGTCGGCTAATAGCTCTTCGCAGATTCAATTTGCTGTCGAATAGAATATAGCCTCCCGGTGCGCACTACGCGATCATTAAGTTACGTTCTCGTCTCCGACGACGAGCCAGTAAAATTTGCTTCAAACACCTACCACTTAAGCCAACTAGCTTCTAACTTTAATTTAATTCGCTTCCTAATTAGTTGAGCAAGTAATTGACTTAATGTGACCTCACTTAGGTTAAAACTTAATTAAGTTTTAAGATTTTCACTTGCTTTTAGATGTCGTTTAAAACTTTCGAATGGATTGTTTAAAATCTAAAATATGCAGGCTCTTAACACTAACTTCAGTAACTTTCGGTTATCTATAAATAACCCGTGTGATTAATAGCGGTATTACCCTGGATTAATCCAAGTGCTTTTTATCATATTTCTTTTAATAAGACACAAGTTCTTCACAATCGCAAGGAAGTGAAAGAAGTGTAAATGTTTGTATGTGCTAAACTTTTATCAATTCACATCACTCACATACATAATATGGTCGGTATCTGCCTACCTGTGTTCGTAAGTTAACATGAAATTGCTTGCGGCGGACATGGATTGCTTTCGACAGAAGAGCGTCCTTATTGTGTTGTCTCCGGGAAAGCTGGCGTATCGCCACGGACGCGACGCGCTGCCAATGCCAAATGTTTTTTATTCCCCCTTTCTGGACGATATTGCCGTTTGCTTACGGCGCCCTCACTTGCCTTATCTTAAACGACAAACGGGTCGCATCGTCCATACTTCAATAGAGCTATTTTTAAAAGTTTTGCATACCTCCGGGCACTAATATTCCAAGCGATATTTGTGGATTTCTTTTCTGCATTACATTGCAGGTTTCTGGAACGTATAAATCAAATACATATAAAGGTGCCGTTTCAATAGTACCTATTTATAATTATGATGATTTACGTATTTAATATTAATATGAATCAAACCTAAAATTATTACATTGATTTCAATTGAAATGAACCATACTCGCATTCATTAAAATACAACATTGGAATTGATACGTTTATTTATGGAACGTTTTGCAAATTTAATGGATTTATTGGTAAATGATGTCTTCATTGGACTTTAATTGAAATTGCACAACAATGGTTCACAAATTAACAATTCGTAATATCCAGTGAACCGAACAGAATATAATAATAATGTCATACGAATATGATGCACGTTAATATTTATTCGTCCACTCCACTGATTGGATTAATTATAAAACACAATAGGTAAACATTTGTAATATTGTTTATTGTGTTTAACATAAATTATGGATTCAAGTAGGTATAATAACGGATATAAAACAAAGTTTTATTGATAAATAATTGCATTGCGTCTAGTATAAAATATGCTAAATGGTTTAAGAAAAAATATATTATTTTTTTATAATATCTTCTGTATAAACTTCTTTTGAAGATTAGAATTTCAAAACACGAGTAGGTACCTATATTCTGGTTTTACTCGCCGAGAAGTCTGTGTGATTTGTTCTGAGAACTTGAGACCCAGACGAAATAAAATGTCAAACAAGTTTATTTAATGCATAACGACACGACTACAGCTGGAAATTATGTTAGCAACCTGACATTGCATATTAATGCTACACCGCTACGGCACGGAAAATGTTTCGTAAACTAAAACTGTCTTTGGCATTTACTACACTTTATCACAATATTTACTGTCCATTCGATTTAGAACACTAACATTCTATGTGTATTGTTTTATACTCCCCCTTACATTTAAATGTAAATAGATATTGCGTTTCATGTATACGTCGTATTAAATGTATCGTTTTTGTTTTCTACTGACCATAGAGCTAAGAGCATAGTAATAAATAAGCAGTTATGAAAACTAAAATCAAACAAAAGCGAACACAGTTAAAAAAGTTGCTTGTTAATTGAACAACCAAATGCAACTATTCGGAATGCCGATATAAATTTCTGATGTAACGCCCACGGCAGCCTGGAAATATTAATTCAATCACATATCCATTCGTCCGGCTTGCCGCACTATATTAATTCTAGAACGGTCTGTCGCAAAATTCCATTTGGAAATACCACGGGCTAACACAGCTTCATGTCCGCGCGCCACTGTGATTGGTTCGCAGTGGTAGTATGGCTTAATCCGTCTTTCAGCGGATCACTACCACTTTTAAAATAAACCCCATAACAAACAATGACACGGATACGGATTTTCCTAATACTGTTGCCATGACTAAGTAAACAGCTTACTAATGTCATTTTAAATTGTGTATGTGTGAAAATCTATTCAATAATATTAGAATAAAAGTAGCACATTAGTAAGAGCCGACGAAACAAGAGGCACAACGTGCTGGCACATAAATAAATTATGCAGTTCGTCACATAATGACACGGCTCCCTTACACCTCGGTGGAGCTAGAGACACCTCATTTATTATAGTGCATCTTCAAAGTCTGGATACTCTGCTTCACTGCGTAATTTATGGAAAAGAAAATTTCTGACGCTAAAAGGTTATAAAATGCTCAAAGCAAATTAAACAAATCGCTCAAGACTAATTGTAGGTTGATACTTACCCATGGGGACGGCAGTCTTCCAATGCATGATTTATATTCTGATATCCAGTGTCAAGCCGAATCCGAGAGTGCATAACCATCGAAGTGTCTGTTCATGAAAAATGTAATTGAATGATTTATCTCGTTGGTCACGTTTCGCCGCCATATGGACTTCTCATGAATAAGTAATGTTCGGCTGCGGTCGTTGTTTCAATTAGCGGTTGTGTCGACGGTCGGGCACGACTGCTTCCCGCCAGCCACCCGCCTCAAAATGCTTATATCCAGAAATCAAAACTATTGTTATGAAGATACGATCATTTTATCCTTTGTTAATTCACCACATCTCTTTGTATCTTCATTTTTAATCTATAAACTTTAGACAAATCTTTACAATTTACACTTAAACAGACTCGTTACAACAAGGACCATGAATAGAAGTGGAAGGTTCGTGTTAGTCGTATAATTGGGGCGAACGATAATGAGCGAAAGTAATTATGTGGCAACATCCCCCGTTACATCTCCGAAAGACACGACCCATTCAGGGATTAGAGGGATCTCGCTCGCCTACGACGGATTAAATTGATATGTGCGACGCTGCTTAACTCGTTTTATGTAAAGGGTCGGAAAGCAATCCCTTTTATTAGAAGTGGAGACATAATCTTGCGCGTATGTCTTTTTGTTGTCTATTATGGAAGCTGAACGTCGCAACTTTTATTGTTTCTCTCATTTTCATAACATACTTGGGACCCTGTTTAGGAAGGGTTGTTTATATTATCTGTTTAGTGCTATAACAGTGATGATTCTGTAACCAGTAAAGCCAGTTGCCGACGGGCAATACGTTTGCTTTTATGAAAATCTCCGTAGTAAACATTGTTTAGAAAGTGTCAGCAATTTATTAACTAACCATATTTAAACCAAGTGTCTACTAACGACGGGAAAAATGGGGGCAGGTTTATTAATTTATTGTGTTTAATAACTTCATAATTATAGGTGCTTACTGTATGTAATTTAATTTTGTGGCCTTATTATGTACAAAACTATTGCTTGAATATCCTAAATGTATTTATACTTATAGAAAGCTGAGTAAGCGAATTCCGCCAGTATAAGATTTTCTTCCGGTCGACGACCGTTCCCGGAAATGGTGTCGTTTACATAAACCTAAACCGGCCGCGAGTAATGGCCTCTACACTTGTACGGTTCAGAGATACGACTTGAATTGCAATGCACTGTGTAATCCGTTCCTTTTTTAAATCGACATGTTTGTGTTACCTTCTTTTACACTGCACTGATTTCAAAATAAGTACCTGGCATTAATAAATAAACTATTATAATATTTTATTCTTCCTTTATTAAAACTTTTGTGACCTAACTATTGTAATGAATTTATCGTTAAAAAGTACTCACCCTTTTCCAATTCACAAACAAATATTATGGATACCCATTACCCACAGTTTGAAGCGAAAATAGCACTTAACACGAAGCAAAACTTTATGTATTTCATGAATAAGAAATCAAATTGAAAGTTAACAATCCGTTAAGTTATATAATGATTTTGAAGTTCATTGCGAAAGGGTCGTCGGAGTTATCCATTTACAGAGAGTTATACTCATTTTATTTTCTTTTAGCAGTCCTGTACAGCGTTCGTCGCTAAGCATCACAGTCGCTTCCCCCGCCTGAACGAGCGCCTTTCGAACCCTACCGTAAAATAGACGCGAAATGTGATAAATGGAAAACTCTTTTTATTGTCGGAGCCCGGGGCACGTTACGTTATGGGTCGGCTCCACTCATCCCGCCCGCACCCTCGCTTTCCCGGCCCGTCTTATCAAGTTTTCTTATATCCTAGTTACCGCTCAATTTTGTGAGCCTTATATAAAAAGCTTTTCCTCTGCTCCCCTCTTTGCAAAAGAATTGCTCTTAAGGTATCTGTCTGTACACGAGTCTCTATCACTTTAAGCGTGTAAGAAAGCTTATGATTTTCTTGCCCTGTTGAGTGCGGGCGTAGTATTTGAATTGACCCTGCGTTTCTTTTATCCAGGGTATTACGCTGCTTCAAGACGCTGGTACGTCGGATGACAGTGGACGGGCATCAGAAAGACTCACTGGTAGTTCGGTGGCGCCTCGCGATCCCGATTCTTCCCGTGATCGTCTTAGTGACGTGAGTATTTTAATCTTACATCACTCTACGTCCTAGTGCCCATTACCAAAAGCAAGTCGTGTCTTAGTGCATAGAACCTTCGGCAATGAACTCTGAGCAAAACCTTTCCATATTATTTAATCTAAGAAAATCGCAAATGACAATAATTTTAAAATTTCAAATTCATGACCTTCTTGTGCGTTCTTTACTCTATGGTCAAATTGTGCCGTGCTTTGTTATAAACTCCGATATTTTAACTTCAATGAAATGCATGTACGAATTCACTTAGTGTTGTGATTGTAATGCGTGTTAGATCGTGAAAACAATTATACGTTATTGTCTTACGTTTTTTTGCATATTTTCTCGTCTCTCCTATTACAATTGGCGATATTAAGAACACAAATCTATGTTCAGATGAACGCTTTTTTCTGTATGCTATGTAATTTGGAAGCATTGTGAGTCGAGTGTTAGGAGAGACGGGACCAACTTCACCACCCCTAGTCACTCCAATCCACTCATATGTTCGCTTTCTCTCTCCTGCCTACAGGCCAGTAGCCGCTGTAGTTCCGGAAAAGGCTATATCGTGAGTATTATCAATGTTGTCTGTTTGCTCTGTTAAACTTTATACTGTTCTCTTCTATTTCACCACGCACGGCTCTGTAGTTGCATGCATGATTAATTGTCATAGAACTTAGTACATAAATCTTGTCTTTATAATAAATGCAATTTTACCGTCTGTATTAAACAGATATCATAACAAGTCATTATAAATGAATACTATACTAACAATACATGAATCAATACGGTGTATGAATAAAATTGAATGATTAATTCATTCGAAATAACCCTTGTCTGTTGTAAAAGACATGTAATAGCTGTAATTCTCTATTACTGTGTGCAAATTTACCCAGATCACGCAACACACATAGACCCTGTTCGATATTCGGCGCGTATCGCAGCTAAATCACGAGATTTGTCGAGGCGGTGCCGTTCCGTACTACATAACATTACCTGCGCCCGTCCTGAATACTTCATGTTCTGTATTTATTTGAAATTGTAATATCTCAGCCTGATCCCTTGTTGTTTCCCCTAGCCTGAACTTACCTCATAAATAACGTGTAACGTATTCGTCGATTTATGTTACGATAATAGTTTTCTTCTCCCATGTGATTTCAACCGAGATTGTTCGATAGTGTAAAAAAGTTCATCTTCTGGAAAACATCATCGTTATGTGTTTTGTAAGTTCCAACGTAATTGTATCATCTCATTATTCAAGTAAATTGTTTGACGTTCTTAAAATTGTAAGCAATTTGTTTTAACATACTGTTTAGAATAAATTGCACGCTTGGTTTTGGTACAAATATTTCATTACTAAATAGGAAACTTATTTGACTATACTGGCAGCTTTCAGCAAATTGCTGCTTTACAACTGCGGATCGTAGTTACTAAAATATTCGTAATAACATAAACATGCATGAATTGAGGTAGTCAGTCTGCTTTACGTAAATACCACATCCTGTATTAAAATTGGTTTTTCTCTTTTTACAGTGTGATAGCGAAGGCGACGATGATAAGGCAAGTACTTTGATATTAATATTCCTTCTCCAAACTTTACAGTTAATTGTTCCAAACGATATTTACGAATCGCGTAAATTAATTAAACCAGTCTTCAACTCCTCGACTCTTTGTGAGTTGGAAAAGTTGAAACAGAGCGTTGGAAATAAATGTCCGTGTAATATAAGTGGCGAAGTTGCTCGTTCCCGGTTTATTACCCGGTCCGACTTGCCAGTACACAGTGATTAATCTCGCGGGGCGGAACGCCACGTTCTAAGCACCTGTTTACTAAATTGTTTAGTTGCTTTGTGGTTAATGAATTGTGCCTGATTGCTTAATGTTTTACGCACTTAGAACTAACTTTAAACATAGTCACGGAATCACACCAAGTGCCTAAATTACGGAATAGGCTTATCGAATGTAGGTGCAGCAAGAAGTCTTTGTAGTTGGACTCTACTGTAGCACAAGTGTACATGCTCTGGGGGCTTAACTAACTCGTCAACAGGTTGTGAAATGCGACTCAAAAGCTGCCAGAGTTTGAGCGTTGAGCGCTCTCTGACGCGTGTCGACGTGGCAAAGGGCGCTGATTACGCGCCGTCGCTCTGTTCAGTAATTACTAGATTGGCGCAGTCTGGAAGTGCCCGTAATTAAATACATTACACCGCCTTTAACGCTACTAACTACTGTCGGTTGAGCTTTAATATCTCATGTTATATTTAAACTAAGCCTGTTGACAAACCATTAACCGATATTTTAAACGATTACAAACTATTTGACAAATTGATGTAGACTTACAATTCGTTATAATGTTGCTAATGATAGATAGGGTCTATCAATGATATACCCAATTTCTGTTAATCACTAATCGTTCCAACTACAAATTCTTATCTAACTTTTTAATCGGGTTGTTCGTTAAATACACAAAATCGTAGAAGAATCTGTGACAGAAACAGTGTAAATCCGAAAGCTTTAAAAGACTGATACCATTGTTCGCGTGGCCGCAACCCCGACTCGTCTGTTCCCCTTAATCTAATTATCTGGCCGCTTCACTGCCTGCTCCGGACGAAACACTCCTCCCTCAATTTCTCTCAATTTTCTCAGGAGATCTAAGTATAAGTGTTTTATTAGGCTATCCATTCGGTGATGTAATGATCCCGGATTTCACCAAAACTCGTGTCTGGTTTTGATAAATTCACATGTTAATGGGAAATGTATTGCTAATATGTTGTCATTAAAACTGCATCGATAGATGTGTCATGACTTCATGAGTCTCAATTAGTCATTTACGAAGAGTTCTTAATCAGGTATATAACCTAGTAACACCGTATTACACTATTATTTGCTCACTTATCTCTTTCATAAATCGCTTTTAATTATAACTAAACATAGTAAAACTGTGATAGCAATCTTAATTAAACACGTTCATAAATAGTAGGCTTCAAACATCCAAACAAATAATAACGAACTCTTTGTGACATAACTATGTTATTCGGGGATCTTTAATGAAAATCATCTCCCCTAGTTGTCAAAACATAATCGAATATGAAGATGAAGCATGATAAGATAATGGCAGTAAATGGATATCTGAGAAGGAAATCAGTCTCGAGTCTGTGTTGCGCCGTAGTCGATTAATTAAATTATCCCGTGAAGTTGACAGCGCTGAGCACATTGCTCGGAGCATCGCAAGCTGGGAGCGATGTGTAGGTGAGAGCGCGTTTCGTGGTAGCGCGCGGCTGCCATTGCTCGCTACACTTAGCTAGAGAGCGCCACTAACTCGATCCGATTCCACTTGGGCTATTTGCACTCCGAGTTCAATTATGCTTCCACTTTGATATGCAAATCCGGTCGCGTTTGGCTAATTACGTAGACGCTTCCGTAACATCATTTCAAACGTCAACTTACTGTACTTACGTCATGTACCCGCGTGCGTGCTGCCAAATATTCATTATGTTATACATTTGAACAAGCAAACTTTTATTGGTGTTCTATAAAACAACAGTATTGAGTTTACCCGTGTGTAGAAGCAACCGACCGTTCTATGAGTTACTAACTTTAATGTTACTTACCTAATGTCTAGTGCAGCCAAGCTAAGTTACGCGTATTGAACTTCCTTCTTCGAGTTTGCTGAAAACAATGGAGAGGTTATGAATATAGCTTTAGCTTGAGCAGGAATCTGGGCAAACTCTCTGAGCTTTGTAAACTCAGTTATTAGCTTAGTAACAGAAGTCGGCAACTGATGCCGGTGGTGAACCGGCCCGCCCCTGCAAAACCACAATCCGTCGGCTTGCACACTCGTAACTTGTCGTTTACAGCTAATGCAACTAACATACCCTTAGCTGCTACCGATAAATTATACTGTGTTCATTACAATGACTGTTTGAATTGCGAGTAATTGCCTAGGTGTAGCAACAAACAATTCATCAATACAAATACTTAAAAATAAAATATTATTAGTTCCCAAATCAAAGTAACTACTTTGTAGGAAAATAAATTTATTTTGTGTAAATGAAAGCTCATTATCATTTATTAGGTTAGAATATCATATCTAGCCGATTTAAGCGGGTGATGGCCTTAGTATGGTGGGTAATCTGCCCGTACAGATACAAGAGGGGAGGCTGTCTAGTCCAACACATTAATAAACTCATGAATACTGATCGAGTGCTACCCAGACCCAGCCCAGTCCTATTAAATTTAATAGTGTTTTTATCTATGCATTTTTTAAGAGTTATACAAATCAAAACAAAATAGCGAACTTCATCCATCCAATCCCAAATCATTTGTAAGAGCATTCATTTCTTTATCGTGCATTGGATGCCACTTGGCAAAATTTACCTTACGCAAAGCTGCCTCGGTTAATTGAAAGAGCTTCTTTCATTTGGTGTAATATTTTACTGCACAGTCTGTGCCTCGTTGCGGTAACAGCAAAACGGTCTCGCTCCGACACACCAGTTTTCTTTAGTGCTCTCTCCTTGGGCGGCCGCTTACGACTCCTTTTAGAACTCGTTTTAGAAGCAACAAGAAAATAATTTAATCTACTCCACGGAATCGAAACATAAATTTGTTTTCAACATTATCTTAATCGCTGCTTCTCTTTTATCATCTTTCAGCGTTGGCTTATTTCTTAAAATTCTTTTTACTTTCATTTCCTTTGCGTAGAATGGCCCTTAGAGTTTTCAAATCAGCAATTACGGTGAAAATTTGATTTGAATTGCGGCGAAATTATGTTGGCTTCTCTAGACTAGGATTTCTTTCGGGGAATATTTCCTTTGTGAATTTATAATTTTTAGTTTAGCTGACATACTGGTGGAGCAAGTGTGGTAGGTACCTATACCCACAATACCCACATGTACCGCAATAAATCGGCCGCACCCACGACGACGCTGTGGCACGCGAGATAAGGGTCACCGCAGCACCATTAAGTACTACAATGTCACTGTTCCGCCGATCAAGAACATAAACACGTAACCACCACCCACAACACGCTTCGAAATTACACCTACTAACATTTCATCCATCAACAAGCTACAATTCGTAGTTTCGCACATAACGGTGTTATTAATGTAATACATACAGTATAATTATAACAAACTACATAACTGCGTGATTAACATAATGTTTCTAGAATGTTCTACTTTTGTCTTGTAAACGAGCATAAAGTGAAAGAACAAATTGCGAGTTTCCCCAGTATTTTCCTCGCTCGGAAAAATATATGTTTTATTAAAGCTCGGCATTTCCGAGAGCGCGGCAACCCTCGGGGCGAGGGTGGTTGGCTCGGGGGGATGAGTTCGGCGGCGCGCCAGTGTATAACAGACAGTAGAGGGATATAAAACATATTTACGCGCCTATAAAGTACTCTCGTACGCTCGCTCTCCACCATTTTCTTTTGTTCCTCGCTCGCAGCCAATGATAATGCTTTCTCCCGTTCGGTTAAACTTATTTCTCTGCCGTCTTATCTGGCTTTTCTTCGGCACTTTTATTTATAACCGAAGTGGTGAAATGTAACAACGTGAAGTAAACGATTTTGGTTTCAGTTTGCTTTTTGACATCTTGTCTCTTTTGTTAAAGGTTTATTTATACATTTTTAGGGTGCTCCGTCATGTTTGTATTCTATAAATTACGATGTATTGATCCTTATGTGTTGCTTTGGTATTGGTAAAATAACGTTCTTAAAAGGTTAAGGCTATGGTTTTTAATCTTTTCTTGTAAATGAATCCTCTTCATTTTAGGAATCTTTACTAAGTAACTCTTATTAGCAGTTCAATAACATATTCATTCATTCACGTGTAGTGATGAATTATACCTATGTGGAGATGTGTTAAAGAAGGTGTAAGGACCCACTTAAAGCTATTCAAAACGAGCAGAACGGAAGCCAGAGTGTTAACAGCAAAGCGAGGAGCGTCTTAATCTTGCGCTACACTACGGCTCAGAACTGAAACCCCTTGCGTAGGTGAGAGGGTGTAATAACAAGAGTCGCCCGTTCCTCGCTATGCCACCCTTCAGTCGCCCGCAGGCTCACCCGCTTGCAAAGTTCTACGGAGATTCCTATTACTCCGTCGTGCTCCAGTCTAACCGGCTTGACTTAGATAAGTCTTAACTTGTTACGATGTAAACTAAACCTTAAACGCTTCTACGAAAATCTTCCAATGTCAGTCTTTGTCATTTATCGACATTTCATATTGCTTGTTCATGGCCATGTTAACGACTTATTTATAAGGAAATACACTCATTCCAATAATGGTTATTGCTACTGCGGTGTCATAATCGATTAATCAATAAAAACTACATTAGTATGCATTTAAAAATTGTTTTATGTCAAATTATAAAACATCTTTGCTACTTTCGAAACGTGTAGGACAAAGACACGTCGTCAAAGGGCCGTAATCATCCGTAGGCAGGCGAGTGTTAGCACTCGACGCCGAGGTTGAGATATCTCTCGACGGATCAGCAGCTCACTCGGGATGCACTCTGCGATTCCGTTTGTCACTGCACCCGACTGCGGTCTGAGCTCTCGCTCTGATAAA